CGACGCCTTTTAAATTTCCGACGAGATCGAACCGACCAATCGAGTTCGTCGAAAATCCGTCGGAAACAGCCATTTCCGACGCCATGCCGACGCCATGTTACAGTTTGATTCCTCTCTGCTAGTGTCAGATATTGAAACTGTAAGACTCAAAACAGAACACAAGAAACAGAGGATATATGAAGAATAAGAAGAACACATGTATCTTTAGTTACTAGCTAGTTAGCTAGGTTTTTTGTGAAGTTCTTTCCGTTTGCTTTTCGATTTATCTTCTTCTGCAAGTTATTGCAATTAGGCATAACAAAGCCCAAATGTGCTTCTTTGTTATGAGCAAATGTGTAATCTTGGTGTAAATGTTAGTGTTACTTAACAAATCTTCACTTTCTACAAAATCAAATTTGATGAAATTTAAATTGAGTTGAGACCAAAGAAACTTGTCCGTTGAGAGACGTTTTCATAAATTCTTCTATTTGTGAATTTTTATAAGGTAGCTTAAGAGAAAACAAAAATTTACTGTTTACAAAAAAAAAAGACTCACTGATATAGTTTCCGAAGAAAACAAAACATATGCAAATTATGTTACCAAATACCAATTAATTTATTGTTCACTTTTTATAAAAAAAAAAAAAAGTAAAAAAAAAAGTAAGTGAAGAAAAACACATTAAAGAAAATAAATAATGATAATGTATGAGAACAATATTTTAAGAAGAATAAAAAAATGATTCTTTCTAATGCAAATTATCTCTTTGGATTTTTTTTTTTTATAATAAAAATGATGAACATTTTCTAAATTATAAATATACACAACAATTTCTATGGAATTGCCGGGGGCGAATAAACCCAATTTTCGACGATCAATACGTTACTTGCTCAAGAAGTTTGACACGGATATCCTCGCTCTCTTTGAAACTCACGCAGAAGGGGAGAGAGCGGGCAGGATATGCCAGCGGTTGGGCTTTGACAACTCGTACAGGGTGGATGCGAATGGCCAAAGCGGTGGTTTATGGCTTCTGTGGCGATCAAGAGTTGGGCAGGTCGCAATTCTTGAAGCCTCAGACCAGTTCATACATGCAAAGGTGGGTGATGGAGAGGATTGTATCCATTTGGTGGCAGTCTATGCAGCTCCAACGGTTAGTAGGAGAAGCGGTTTATGGGGAAAGCTGCGGGAGCTCGTGAGGGACATAAGGGAGCCATTAATCATAGGAGGTGATTTTAACACGATTTTGCTGTTAGATGAGAGGATAGGGGTAATGGAAGACTCTCACCCGACTCGCTTGCGTTTGGTGAATGGATAAATGACCTATCACTAATAGATATGGGCTTTAAAGGAGGACCGTATACATGGAGACGGGGACGTATGGAGAGTACAGTGGTTGCAAAAAGACTAGATCGTGTTCTTTGTAACCCACATGCTAGATTGAAGTGGCAGGAGGCGGTGGTGACCCATCTTCCTTTTTTATCGTCGGATCATGTGCCGTTATATGTACAATTAGAGCCGAAGAGTAATTCTGACCCGAAGAGGAGACCTTTCCGATTTGAGGCGGCGTGGTTGAGTCACAAGGGTTCAAAGAATTGTTAATGGCGTCTTGGGATCCGTCATTAGAAACTCCAAAAGCATTGGAGGGGCTGCAGAGAACGTTAAAAAAATGGAATAGGGAGGTGTTTGGGGATATTAACACAAGGAAGGAGAAATTGTTGGGAGAGATCAAGGCGGTGCAGGACTTGTTGGTGGTAGCACAAACGGATGAGCTCTTGGCGAAGGAGGCGGAGGTGTTGCAGAATTTTGACGCCGTACTTGAGCAAGAAGAGACTCTCTGGTTTCAAAAATCAAGAGAGAAATTTATTGCTCTGGGAGATAGAAACACAACGTTTTTTCACACATCAACGGTGATTAGAAGGAGGAGGAACAGAATTGAAATGTTGAAAAATAGTGAAGAGCTTTGGGTTTCAGATAAGGAAGAGTTAGAGAGAATGGCGCTGGAGTATTATCAACAATTATACTCGGTGGGAGGGCTAACCATAGAGAGACCACAACTACCGATGAATGGTTTCTCAAATTTAACTAGGGAGGAGAAGTTAAAGTTAGAGAAACCGTTCACGGAGGAGGAGGTAGTGGTGGCGGTGAAGAGCATGGGGAAGTTCAAAGCACCGGGACCGGATGGTTTTCAACCCGTGTTTTATCAGGAGTGTTGGGAGATTGTTGGGATTTCGGTGAAAAGCTTTGTGTTGGGGTTCTTTGAATCGGGAGTGTTGCCGACGGCTGCGAACGATGCGTTGCTAGTATTGCTGGCCAAGGTTGCGAAACCAGAAAAAATAACTCAGTTTCGGCCCGTGAGTTTGTGCAATGTTTTGTTCAAAGTGATAACGAAGATGATGGTTATTAGGCTGAAGAATGTCATCTCTAAGTTGATTGGTCCCGCCCAAGCAAGCTTTATACCGGGACGACTAAGTATTGACAACATAGTGGTGGTACAAGAGGCGGTACACTCTATGCGTCGAAAAAAAGGACGGAAGAGGGTGGATGCTCTTGAAGTTAGACCTTGAGAAAGCCTATGATAGAGTACGATGGGATTTCTTAGCGGAGACTTTGGAGGCTGCGGGTCTCTCGGAGGGATGGAGGAGGAGGATAATGGAATGTGTATGCGATCCATCTATGTGTATATTGTGGAATGGGGAGAAGACGGATGCGTTCAAACCGGAGAGAGGGCTAAGGCAGGGAGACCCTTTGTCGCCATATTTGTTTGTGTTGTGCTTGGAGAGGTTGTGTCACCTTATTGAAGTAGCGGTCGGGAAAGGGGAGTGGAAGCCAATCGGGTTATCGCAAGGAGGTCCGAAAGTCTCACATATATGCTTCGCGGACGATTTAATTCTGTTTGCGGAGGCGTCGGTGGCTCAAGTGCGGGTAATAAGGAAGGTACTAGACACTTTTTGTATGGCGTCGGGTCAAAAAGTGAGTCTAGAGAAGTCTAAAATATTTTTTTCGGCGAACGTAAGCAGAGATATGGAAAGATTGATCACTGAAGAGAGTGGGATTGGATCCACACGGGAACTTGGGAAGTATCTTGGGATGCCAATCTTGCAAAAGAGGATCAATAAGGATACATTTGGCGAAGTTCTTGAGCGTGTGTCCGCAAGATTGGCGGGTTGGAAGAGTAAGACTTTGAGCTTGGCGGGAAGGATTACACTCACTAAATCGGTATTGTTTTCAATTCCGGTCCATGCTATGAGCACAATTCTGTTACCCGCGTCGACGCTAGAAAGCTTGGATAAGTTGTCGAGGTCTTTCTTGTGGGGAAGCACTACTGAGACGAGGAAGATTCACTTGTTATCGTGGGACAAGGTGTGTCAACCAAAGGCAAAAGGAGGACTGGGCCTGCGAAAATCAAAGGATATGAATCGGGCCTTACTTGCAAAAGTGGGCTGGAGGCTTTTAAACAATAAGGAAAGTTTATGGGCCCGAATCTTGAGGAAAAAATATAAGGTGGGAGAGCTGAGGGATAGCAGATGGCTTAAACCTAAGGGGACATGGTCTTCGACGTGGAGAAGCATCGGTGTTGGGTTGAGAGAAGTCGTCAGTCAAGGTATAGGGTGGGTGCCTGGGAATGGTAAATCAATTCGCTTTTGGGAGGATAGGTGGTTGTCGCAGGAACCGTTGCTAAATTGGGTTTCGGGGCTGCTACCAGTGGGAGAGAAAGACAAAAGTGCGGCAGATTACTGGATAGAAGGGACGGGCTGGAACAGGCGAAGGCTAGCTGAATTTCTACCGGTGAATTGGTTGCTAAGATTATATTCAGTGGTGTTACAAAGCTGGCCAGGAATAGAGGATAAAATCACTTGGATGGGGACGAAGAACGGTGGTTTTACGGTGAGATCAGCGTATACAGTGCTTACGGCGGAGCAGTTTGAAGGACAGTGTATGGCGCGTTTCTTTGACCGTATTTGGAAGGTAGTTGCACCGGAGAGGGTCCGTGTGTTTCTGTGGCTGGTGGGGAACCAAGTAATAATAACCAATGAGGAGAGGCTGCAGAGGCATATGGGAGATACGGATGTATGTCCGGTGTGTCGTGGAGCTACGGAGTCAATCATTCATGTACTGAGAGATTGTCCGGCGATGGTAGGGATATGGATACGACTAGTTCCGGAGAGAGAACGGCGACATTTCTTCGCCACAACTCTTTTGGAATGGTTATTTGAAAACCTAAGCATGAAGTCGGACTCGCGGGGAGAGAAGTGGCCAACTATGTTTGCTATGGCGTTGTGGTGGGGCTGGAAATGGAGGTGTGGAAATGTGTTTGGGGAACGAGGTCATTGTCGGGATAGGTTACGGTTTGTCAAAGACGTGGCGGAGGAGGTTGTTCAAGCACACTTGAAGGTGAAGAGAGGTGGTCCGACGGGAGATAGAGTGGAGAGGTTGATATCATGGACTAAACCGGAGGAAGGATGGGTGACGGTGAATACAGACGGTGCTTCGCGGGGAAACCCGGGTCTAGCAACGGCGGGAGGCGCTTTAAGGAACGAGACAGGTGAATGGTTAGGAGGATTTGCCTTGAATATAGGGTATTGTTCAGCCCCATTAGCGGAGTTGTGGGGGGTTTACTATGGTCTCTATCTAGCTTGGGAGGAAGGATCGAGACGGGTGATATTGGAGATAGACTCACGGTTGGTGGTGGGCTTTTTACAGTCAGGGGTGCCCGATTCGCATCCGCTGGCCTTCCTGGTACGATTGTGCCACGGCTTTATTACAAAGGACTGGTTAGTCCGGGTTACTCATGTGTATAGGGAAGCTAATCGCCTCGCGGATGGATTAGCGAACTATGCGTTTTCGTTACCACTTGGTTTTCACACTTTTGATGTATGTCCGGAGTGTGTAAAACCGGTGTTGTTAGAGGATAGGAGTGGAGTTGCGATCCCACGGCACGTTGGTGGTTAATTTTTTTGTATTGTTTCTGTTCTAATAAATTGAAGTGGACATTGTCCCCTTTTAACGACCAAAAAAAAATTCGCTACCAACTTCAAACCTCGATGGTTTTAATCTCTGAAACTTCCGACGACGGTTATAATGGCGGCGATCATCGAAACAAGAAACCTAAAGAAGAAGATAATCGAAACAAGAAACTGAAAGAAAAGGTTGTTAAAGTGTCGCTACCGATTCCAAACGAACTCATCTTACGTTGCTTCCTACTCGTTCGGAGATGTCACCACCCGTCGCTTTCCCTCGTCTGTAGTTCCTTCCATCGTCTCATGTCGAAGCTCTACGACGATCGCTTGCGTCTCGGCTACACAGAAAACGTTCTTTACGCCTACGTTGGATTCCCTCCTGTTGAAAACCCTAGCTGGTACATTCTCCATCGGAAACCCTATCGATACTTGCCTAACACGATTTCTTTAAAACTGTGCAAACTCGATTCCCTCCCTCCCATGCCTTGGAGATCTACTGTCGTCACTATCGGATCGGATATCTATGTCATCGGTGGACGCGTAATAAGCCATAGACGCGGAGATACATCCATAAGAGGTGGACGCACAGGCGAGCAACGCATCTCGGATGTGACGCACGAGTATCGCTCGCTCCCTAGTATGAAGGTGGCTCGCTGCCGTGCAGCCGCAGGTGTAATTGACGGAAAGATTTATGTGATCGGAGGGTGCAAGGTACGAGCTTCTGATTGGGTTGAAGTGTTTGATGTAAAGAAACAGAGTTGGAGTTCTGTGCCTGGTCCATACCCTAAAGCGTTTGAAAGAGAAGAGTTTCTGACATATGCGGTGATGAAGGAGAAGATATACTGTTTGGATCTTTTTAGCAATGTTCATATTTATGATCCCAAGGAAAGTAAATGGGAGTCTTGGGTTTCTGGAGCGTTGAGTTATTTTTGGAATGATTCGTCTTGTGTGATTGATAATTTGCTGTTTTGCAAGAATACAATAGTGCGGTTCCATGGATGGCGGCCAGTAAAAATATATGATCCAGAGCGGAAGGTTTGGTGTTTCTTGGAAGGTTTACAAGGTTTTCCAGAAAATATCTTTCTCGATGAATGTAAAATGGCTAATTTTGGTGGGAAGTTGCTGATTTTGGGCGCTGATGTGAGCCGGATTAGGGGGAATGACGGTAGGAAAAGAGAGATTTGGTGCATAGAGATTGCTTGGGAAAGAAAGGAAAATGGTAGATTTTGGGGGAAGGTCGAATCAGTCGCGGTTGTGCTTACACCAACAAAGACGTCTTCTGTTGATCCCTTTGTAGAACTGTTACGGTTTGATATGATACATTGGATGGTTTCTTGCAGGTATGCTTCTTTAGTACTGTTGATAATGAATTTGTTTAGAATTGTCTTTAGTTTCAAAGCTTAGTTTAGGTTTTCATGAAACTTGCAGGTGACGGATATTTATTAATTACATCTACTAAGATGAAGCAGAGTGGCTAAAGCTGTTATCTGAAGCCTCAAGAGTAACCATTTTGCATAATGTGAATTGTACATTTTATGAAAATACTCTTATGGATTTAGCCTTCTTTAGAACTTTTTTAAGCTGTAAAAAGTATTAGGCCATTCTATTTGCCTTTATACATTACTAGGAAACTTGTTGCAGTCTCACTATTGCAAGTTTTATCCGTTTGCTTTGGGATATGTTATCTTCCTCTGCAAGTAATCACAAACAAACACAACAAAACCCATTGTGGTTCAGGGATCTGTAGATGAAAAAACCGGTTTAGGTAAAAATAGTCTGGGACAGGGAGCAAAACGAATTGTTTTACTTTAACTGGTTATATGGATAGCTATTACAAAGACGAATAAGCTTTTATTAGAATAAAGTAAAACAAAGAAATGCATTGATAACGTTTTAAAAATGGGAAAATACTCTTTTAATATCACGAACAAAGCAATTGAATTCAACATTTGTTGTTGACGAATGACGCCATTGAAAGGAAATTAGGGTTTATAAGTAGAGAACAGAGAGACTTGTGAGTCACGTTGAGATATGTTTGACTCAACTTTTATAAATTCTTCAGTTAATGAATCTCTTTTTAAAGTAATAGAAAACAGAAAAATAAAAAAGCAGTGTAAACAAATGCATAATTTAAAATGAATTTCTTTTACTAATTTGTTTTTGGAGAAATTATATCTGTACATATTTTAACAAGTGGAAATATTGAAGTGAAGAAAAAAAGACACATTATAAAAAATAAAATAAAAGAGGAAAATGTATTAGAACGAGATTTAAAAGTGAGAGAAAAAATGTTTAAATACAAATTATCTTTTGGATATTTTATGATGAACAGTTTTTAAAATCGAAGTACTGTATCTGAATCTTGCGGCATCTTTTCAAAAATCGCATTCCTTAAATTCGCTCATGACTTCACACAATCAAACGGCGATGGCTGTCATCGCTGAAACTTCTTCGGACGACGGAGGCTCTAATGGCGGCGATCAAAACAAGAAACCTAAAGAAGTCGAGAAGAAACCGAAAGAAGAAGAGAATCGAAACAAGAAACTCAAAGAAAAGTTGTCGTTTTCTCTACCAATCCCAGACGATCTAACCCTAAGTTGCTTCGCACTCGTTCCAAGATGTCACTACCAAGCACTATCCCTCGTCTCAAGTAACTTCAGAGATATAATCTGGTCGCGGGATCTCTACGTCAAGCGCTCGGACCTCGGCCGTACCGAAAGCGTTCTTTATGCGTACATCAGATTATTTCCATTAGAGAAGCCTAGTTGGTACATTCTGCATCGTGAGCCCTATCGAAACTTGCGTAACACGGTTCCTTCAAGATTGACTCTAATCGATTCACTCCCTCCCATGCCTTTGGGAGCTGCTGTCGTCACAATCGGATCTGATATCTACGTAATCGGTGGACAAATCTGTGGAAGACCCTCAGCAGCTATGACTCTCATGGATTGCAAATCTCACAAGTATCGCTTGCTCCCGAGTATGCGAATGTCTCGCTTCCGCGCAGGTGCCGGAGTGGTTGACGGAAAGATTTATGTAATCGGAGGTTGTATGGTTCAACTGTTTTATTGGGTGGAAGTGTTCGATATAAAGAAACAGACTTGGAGTGGATTAGGGTTTCCGCTCTTACCTAAAGTGGAGACAGAGTACTTGACATATGAGGTGATGGGAAAGAAGATTTACCTTAGGGGTAAAATCTCGGCTTATGTTTTCGATCCAGAAACATTGGTGTTGGATCATGCATTGCTACTGGGAATACACTTTCCTACTGCGTGGCATGAGTCTTCTTGTGTGATAGATGATATGTTGTTTTGCATGAACCCACAATTGCTTTTGCGTAAGTATGGTCTGTTGGGAAGTCAACAAGGTCTAGTTGGTTTAGAAGGTTTACCAGATCATCCAATACTCGTATATTATCCGAAGCGGTACGTGAACAGAATGAGGTACTTGAAGGGTTTACAAGGTTTTCCTGCAAACATGTATCTCAAAGAGTGTAAATTGGCGAATTTTGGTGGAAACTTGGTGGTTTTGGGTACTAATCAGAGTCGGTTTAACAAGTGTAAAGGGAAAAAAGAGGTTTGGTGCGTAGAGATCTCTTTAGAAAGACGGGGAATCGATGATATTTGGGGCAAGGTTGTTGATTGGAGCAAGGTTGAATCAGTTGCGGTTGTGCTTACGCAGTTTAATTGCTCGCCTTCCATTGAGCTTTGTCGAACTGTTACTTTTGTCTCTCTAGCTTCAAGGCTTAGTTAGATTTTCATGAACTTGCAGGTGAATAATATTTATTACATTCTACTGTTTGAGCAGCTTGTTATTGGTCTGATAACAAAGATGAAGCAGAGTGGCGAAGAAGGCTCAAGAGTTACCTTTTTGCACAATTTGAATTGTACCGTACAACTCTTAAGCTGTAAATAAGGGTTTAGGCCATTGTTTTTGCCTTTATGCAATGTTTTTACTAAATTTGTTGAAATGCATCTTTAGCTAGCCATGTTTGAGGTTTTTTTTCGCAGTTTAACTTGGTCCCAAGTTATTTCTGTTTGCTTTTAGATAAATAATTCCTCCGCAAGTAATCACAATCAGATATTGAAAGTGTAAGACTCAAAACAGAACACAGAAACAGAGGATATATGAAGAAGAAAGAAGTTGAGATATGTTTTGGGCTCTCATATGTTTTAGGGTTTTTGTGAAGTTCCGTTTGCTTTTGGATATATCATATATATAATCATCAAATGACTTAAAATGTTCCATTGTGCTTCTAGAATATGAGAAAATGAAAAATTTGGTCCACAAATGTGAAAATGGTCTGGCCTCTGGGAGCAAAACGAATTTGGTTTACTTTAACGACCAGGTAGTCATGCATGGATGCGATTACAAAGACCAATAATTAAGCTTTATTAGAAGATAAAGAGAAAAAAAGAAAGATTAACGAGAGCTGACTTGATACAAGAATGACGAAAGCTTATGACTGAGTAATCAGATAAAGTAAAAGAGAGAGAAAGGAGTGACTAACTTGAGTCTTCTCTGTGTCAAGAGCCGTCTTGTATGATTGAGGATAAGTTGTTTTCTATTAATATTGATGAGTATGCATTAGTATATGTACTTTTGATGATGAAGAATTCAGAATTTTAGACATTTTCTTCAGCCTCATGATGCTTAATTAGTTAATTAGACTTTTATGAACTTGCAGGTGAAGGATCTACAGCTTGTTGGTCTGACAAAAAAGATTTAACTTGTCCTTTGTGACAATGTAAAGTTGCATTTTATATATAGAAGAAAAAAAATTAGCCTTGAAAACAATTCTTATTGCAGTAAAAAAGATATAGGCCATCATATCTTTAGGCTTTATAGTTTTATACAAAATGCTTACTAAACTTGTTGAAATGCATTTTTTAAGTTAGCCTTAGCCATGTTTAAGGGTTTTGAGCAGATTGCTTAATTAAGAAGGAAGCTATTAATATATCTTTTAGCCATAAGACTAACTAGTCCTTATCAACCTATCTTTGTAGCACAATGTGAAATTGCATTTTATAATAAGGGTTAATCTTCTTCTAGCCTTTGTACAATATTCTTACTAAATTTGTTGAAATGCATGCATCTTTAGAGTTAGCCATGTTTCTGGCCGGTTTTGAGCAGTAACATGGTGTCAAGTTATTTCTGTTTGCTTTTAGATATATAATTCATCAGAAAGTAATAATAATCAGATATTGACAGTGTAAGACAGATTAACCAAAGAAGAGAGTAACCGGATCAAGCAAAACAGATAAAACACATACAGACGTTGCAAATCCTGAGAATTAATGCCCTCTCAAGGTCCTTTTCGTAACATTAATTAAGGATAGCGATTACATAACATTTTTATTAAAACCTCTTATAATCCGGCCATCTTCTCCTTTTCTGATAAAATCCAGTAGACCTATACCTGCGTATTCGTTGTGGCCTAGCCACTTCCACAATGATGGATCCAACATTGACACATTTGCTGCGAGACTCTTCGACGTTGATTTGAGAACCGTCGATCTCATCCCCGTTCATATCCATAAGAGCATCTCTCAATATTGAATCGATGATTTCGCCATCAGAAAGTTCATTGTGAAGACACTTTGGATCAGTATCACATTCCAGACCGTGAACAAAACACTGGAACCCAATCTTTTTTCTTACTATAATCATTCATTTCCTTAATGGCATCTCTCATGGATTTCTCCTCCTCGAAAGTAACAAATCCAAATCTTCTTGATTTTCCAGTCACATGATCGTAAATGATCTGTTAAAACATTAAGAAGAAAAAAAATCAGTGATGAGAACTAAGAACTCCAACAAAAAAAAGGTTCATCTCAAGGCGTTTATAACGGACTTAAGAATCGATCACGTTGCCAAACTTTGAAAATATGTTCTTAAGATCGTTTCCATCAGTGTTCTGATCAAGACCACGAACAAAGCAAGTGAATTCAACATTTGAAGCCATTATATTGAATAAGATATAGTATCAAAGATAGAATATAATTTCTACGTAGAAAAGAAGAGACTACAGTAAGTATATATGGTTGAAAGAAGTTGAATCAATTTATAGAAAAGGTGATATACATCATTTAATGTTTTCCATTTTAGTTATTTATGCATTTCGTAATTGCTAGTCAATTTTAGTAATCTCTGTTTTCTTTTGGAACTAGTGAAACTACTAGATTACAACGACCATCGTAAATATCAGCGTTCAATATTTTTTGTTTGACTTTCATCTACAAATTTCCAGGTGAATTTATTTGAGAAATTATCGTAAATATTAAATAGTTTTGAATTTTTGTTATTGATAAAATAAATGGAAGTAGTAAAAAAAAATCTTAGGGCAAGCCCAAAACAAAATCACTCAAATCGAGATATTGTCATTTATACGGCTTTAAAGGCCCAGCCCAAAACAAAATTGTAGAAAAACAAAACTGTAGGTTCTACCGAGAATTGAACTCGGGTTACTGGATTCAGAGTCCAATGTCCTAACCGCTAGACCATAGAACCATTTATTACACATGTAACATATTATATATTTATACTTTTAACATTATCTTCTTCGAGCTGTTGCTCTATCTCTTTTTCATTTTACTTCTCCGTGCACTGTAAAATCATCTCTCTCAATTCTCCGACAACGTTGCTCTAATGCTTCGCCACTGCAACGTCACCTACACCTCATCGTTTTCCCTCATCTCCTCCTCTCTCCGCCGTCAAGACCATCCCGACGATTCACAAGATACAGTAATCCGTCGCCGGCACAATGCTAGATCCCTTTCTCTATACATCCGCCATAATCGAGACCTAAAGCTTAACAAAAACCGTAACGAATCTCAAGAATCCTTTGTTCCTCCTCCTCCGCGGCGAGATATTGACGGTGATGACCGATCCAAGCTACTTGAGCTCTCTCTTGTAACTAGAAGAACTCCACAATTTCCTGGTTCAATCTACGCTCAATCTGCTTCTGATGCTGATGTTGCTTCTTCTCTTCCTTCGCTTCGTAAATTTCTTGGGTCTGATGGTGATGACGATGGAGAGAGTGAGAGAGAGATGATAGATAAAGCGCTTGAGATTAGGAGGAAAGTGACGAAAGAGATTATCAAAGAGTCTTTGGTGAGGAAAGGTAGATTTGGGATTACGTATGCGACTAATGTGACTGATCGTTTGGGTGATTTCGTTGATCATGTTATGATTCAAGCTGCGGCATTGAAGCGGTTGCCGGAATTTTCAGAGTCGAGGTTCAATCTTCGCGCCAGGACTGTTATAGATGACTCCAATTTCGTGCCTCTTGTAAGGTCAAGCTCCTTCTTTTTGTGCTTTTTGGTGGTGTTTATTAGTGCCCATAAGGTGTTCGATGGTTTGTCTCTGAGAAACAATAGAATTTTTTTTAATTATGATTCTGAATTGTGCAGGTGGTTGAAGCACCATGAGTTTTCATATAATAGAATTGCGAAGATCATATGCATGTCAAAAGGAAATCTTGACTCCATAAGGATCATGATCGAGTGGCTGAAGACCATTCATGTGAAGGGTGAATTCATTGGAGTTGCGTTCTTGAGATCTGGGGACAACATCTTGCAACGTAGTCGTGAAGAACTGGACGAGATTGTTGAGTATCTTGAGAGCAATGGTGTGAGGAGGGATTGGATGGGATATGTTGTTGGGCGATGTCCGGAGTTGTTGTCTTTTAGCATGGAAGAAGTGAAAAGCCGTGTTGATTTCTTCTTGAAAATGGGTATGAATCAGAATGACTTCGGCACGATGGTTTATGATTATCCAAAGATAATTGGGTACTTCTCATTCGAAGAGATGGAGAAAAAGGTACTGAAAGCTGCTATATGTATTTTTTGACCCTCCAATGTTAGGGATCGTCGTTTGAGCTCATAAATGTGTTGCTTGCTTTCCTAAAACCAGATCAATTACCTGAAAGAGTTTGGCCTTAGCACAGAAGAAGTTGGGAGACTATTAGCCTTCAAGCCACACCTCATGGGATGCAGTATTGAAGAAAGATGGAAGCCTCTAGTCAAATATTTCTACTACCTTGGAATCCCCAAAGAAGGAATGAAAAGAATCCTTGTCGTGAAACCAATTCTTTACTGCATTGATTTGGAGAAGACAATCGCCCCAAAGGTAGTTGAACTTCGTTATAACTTATGAACTCCCTATACGTACACGCAGCAGATTTTATTAACTCAGCTTCTCTTGTGTTTTTAAAGGTAAGATTTTTGCAAGAGATGGGTATCCCTAATGAGGCCATTGGAAACATGTTAGTAAAGTTTCCTTCTTTACTTACAAACAGCCTCTACAAGAAAATCCGACCTGTGGTTAGTATTACTTCCTCTATGAACCAAAGAAAGATGTTCAATAGAATGTTATGTTGGTGTTACTCATAGGCCATAGCATATGATGATCCTGGAAACTGCGTCTGATACTGTATAAGTTGTGGTCGTACAGGTGATTTTTCTCTTAACCAGAGCCGGAGTAACCCAAAAGGATATCGGTAAAGTTATCGCAATGGATCCAGCCCTCCTTGGATGCAGCATAGGGACAAAGCTAGAACCCAACATGAGATACTATATATCATTGGGTATTCGATTTCATCAACTAGGCGAAATGATTGCTGATTTCCCGATGCTGCTTCGGTATAACGTTGATAATCTGCGTCCAAAATACCGTTACTTGCGAAGAACAATGATCCGTCCGCTTCAAGATCTCATTGAGTTTCCCAGGTACCAGACAATGATGATAAAATAATACCTTCAAACTGTAGCTTTTGAGTAACCATGAAGTAGTTACATGATACTTGTAACAGATTCTTTAGCTACTCACTGGAGCGTCGGATAATCCCAAGGCACACCATTATGGTTGAGAACAGAGTTAACTTCAAGCTCAGATACATGTTGGCTTGTACGGATGAAGAGTTTGAGAGGAGAGTGAGAGATAAAGTGGAGAGACGAGAGAGATTCGAAGCTGGTCTTGACTCCGAGGATTTGGAATGAGAACATCTTCGATAAGGAGATTGATTTGTCAGACTCTCCGGAAGAAGAATGAAGAGGATTTAGCATAATGAATAGTTCTGTACATAGTCTTGTACAGTTAACACAATTATAAACGAACGAATGTGTCAATTAGTCTTGGATCTTGATTATAAATATTAGAATGAGAATATTAGTTCTTTTATGTCCTAAGAGTATTCGAGAAAGCACTTTCACAGATTGTGTATCGCAGTATAGGCACTTAGCATGTCATGCAGAGTAAACTGTCATCAAGGAAACTGTCATCAAGGAAGCTGTCACGAGCACAACCCATATCCATCTCACTCGATTCCAATGCGACAGATCGGATTCCGTTTAATGAGACCAAGATCCACCTGCGTAACAAATGACAGTAACACAATAAGACCATTACTTTCCAAAGAAGCTGTAGTATAAACAAGTGTAAGATCTTGTACCTTGTGTCCAAACAGATCACGGATGTTGTCAATCTCGTATAAAATCATTGTTGGTCTGTTTATGAAACAAAACCAGAAGAATCAGCACTTTTGTTCGTAATCAAAATGTGTACCTGATGTCTAATTTTATCTTTTACTGTACCTTTCAAGAGAGAGACCCCATGCAATGACTCGAACATCCTCTGGGAGACCCATCGGTAGCAACATTTCTGGTCTGAACATGCCAGAGTTTCCAATTTCTACCCATTTCCCTAATCCTTCGTGGTAGCTGGAAATGACCGCAGATACAATATCTTCAGAGTCTGTTTATTTATTTTCGAATTTCAGAGATGATGATTTGTTCCAATTTACCTGAAAATCTCCATGCTTGGTTCGGTGTAAGGGTTGTAGGCAGGCTTGAAACGCAGCTTGGACATCCCTGTAAAAGCATAAACGCATATGCCTTCGTTTTCTCTTAAGCGACTTTGAAGTATCAAAATAAGCGCAAACGGGAGAGTAATAAAGCATTTACCTAAGCGTGAGAAGAAGTCCTGTAATACACCGATGAGATCACCCAATGTAAGGCCACGGTCACAGACCAACCCTGAGCAAAAGAGAGAAGGTGTATTTTCCACATTCTAACTTTGAATTTCCTCATATGTGACAACTAACTAGCTAGTGCAATTACCTTCAATCTGATGGAACTCTGCCAGATGGGTTCGGTCAACAGCCTCGTTTCTGAAGACACGGTCTATAGAAAAGTACTTCTTGGGAGTGAAAGGTTTCTACACCAAAAGATAAAATAAATTATACTACAGAAACAATGTTGTACAGCTTTTGAGACTTGGAAGGACAAAGTCAATATCAATATCTAGCCAGACCTTTGCAAGTGCATAAAGCATCCTAGATGAGGCCGCTGTTGTGTGGGTACGAAGGAGGTTTTTGTTTGCTTCCTCTCTTTTCCAATCATAATTATACCTGTACAATGGAAAAGACCATGATGAGAGATTACAAATTAGTTGACTACTATCGGAGGTAGTAAGCATAAAAAAAAAGTTGGTACCCTCTCGATCCATATCCACCAGACTCATGAACTTGTTTCACCCTCTCAACATAATCTTCTGGCAATTCCCTTGTAGTTGAAGGAGCTACAATCAAACATTCACATCATAAGCTTAAGAGTTAGATTGTCATTGAGATGTCATTAAGCAGCTAGGAAGAATGGTCCCAAAGATAAACTCAGTAACTGAGCATTCAAACATTGAACCTTTTAGAAAGAAGGTGTCATGAGAGTCACGAGCAGGATGCTGCTGAGGCTGGAACAGTGCATCGAAATTCCAGAAGCTACAAAGCATAGGAAAAAAGGTTAAGATCAACCAATGAACAGAAAGGAGGATACCCTTTGTAATCATGAAAAGCTGAAGGCCTCTAAACATGATTCCTGAATAAGGATGGATTGTGAAAAAGGTCGATAGAATTGCATGAGGTGCTTCGCTATATAGTATCAAAAGAGATTAACACATCCAATTGATAAAATACCTGCTCT